AAGGACTGGATTGGGAATGTCTTGATTCTCGTGAATTATTATTAGATTTCATTTACATCTATGTTTTGACATTTTTCAAGTCGTGACGACGACCTGCTGTGTCTTCTCTTAGATGCTTTCAAGCAAATCTGTGAGGAGTGGCATGGGGTGAGGATGTATATTTGCCTCTTTAGTCTGCCCTGTGTAGGACTTGATGTGCGCTTGCTCGGTTAAAAACCGTCACTCACCCGAGCTCTGCGTCGGCGGGTGGTGATTTGAGGCCGGTTGCGTAACACCGATGATGCTACGGACGCGTCCAGCAGAAAGTGCTGCTGAGTCTGGTTTAAATGACTCGTTCCTTTACTGGCCGGCGATCTGGAGCGTTCAGACATCGTAGCTGGCGACTGTGGGAGAGTTCTGTCGGCGTCTGTCAAAGCCTTGCAGCTAATGGTTGACCATGTGACGCGTCTGTATTCCTGGGCATAGGATTCAAGTGTCCCCCGAGGCAGTGTAAGCAGCCAAGCCACATGGCTGACTGAGTGGCTCATGCGGCTGAATGGCCGCAATGGTTGAGACAAGACAGTGCGGGTCTTTGTCTGGGTATCATGGGTGTTGTTCAGCTGAGCCCCTCCGCCTAGAGGCCACATTTCGTACTTGGTGATGAAGATTCTCGCTTTTGCGATGTGTAAGGTTGTTCACAGACCTCATCTGTTTGTGTCGCCATGTGCTCCTCTCGTAGGCCGTATGGGGTTCATCTCATACGACTGCGGCTCTGCACTCCGCCCTGTAGGTTTTGCCAATTTCATCATATCGTGAAAGCTGCCAAGCACCTTGTCCTCACGCTCCCGCGTAAATGCATCTTGCCCGGGATGGTATGCTCCTAGGACCTTGGCTTCGTGTTCGTTCTCAAATGTATCAGGGCCGTGCTGGTATGCTCCCAGCTCGGCCGTCGGCGCTCCCAACATCTTGGCCTCGTTCCGTGAGAAAGTGTCGGGCCCATGCTGATAAGCACTCAGCTCAACCTTTGGGGCTTCCGGGGCCTTTGCTGGCTGTTCATTCAGAGAAAGATCCGGACCGTGGTGGAAGGTACCCAGCTCATGTTGTCGCCGCACGATCTCTCGCTCCGCAGCCTCTAGTTCGTGTGGCTGAGGCATCGGCTCGAAATCCGCCAGATTAACTGTGGAACTGGTCTGGTTTTGGCTGGCACCATACACGTTTCGCTGTGCCGATGTGTTGGCTGCTCCAGGGGCGAATTCGGCAGCGGCCGTCGGATGATCGAACTGATGACGAGGAGCCGCAGGAGCGGTTGTGGTTGTTGGCCCTACTGATTGTCCGTAAAGCGAGGCGGATCCGCCCGTCGGAGCATTTCGCTGGCCATATATCGAAGCGCCTGGTGTCTGGCTGGTCGTCGGCGGAAGTCGTTGCCCGTAAAGTGAAGCGATCGGCCCGTCTCCGCCAGCAAAATCTGATTGCTGCCCGCCATATGACCCCCCCGTGGCTGGCGACGGCCCGCTAACATACGTTATATTTTGCTGCTCGGTAATCGTCATCGGCTGCCCGCCGGCGTAGACGGCAGCTTGCTGTCCCCCGATCGCCTGTTGTTGGTGATCCATATAATATCCACCCTGTTGACCGCCGGTCGCTTGCTGTCCCGGGGCGTAGTATCCGGATTGCTGCGGTTGCCCGTTGACGAAGGATGATGCTGGCGGCACGGAGACGGATGATGCTGGCTGCCATGCATTCAAGCTCGACACTCCTACGGTCGGAGAAACCCCATGTAATGAAGAAGGCGCGCTCTCGCCGGATTGTGAAATGCCTATTGAAGAGCCCCGATCGGGGTGCTCGCCGTTTTTCGCTTCGACTTCGCTGTATTTCGTTTTCGGTCGCTGGGATCGTCGCCACCAGAAGAATGCCACCGCCCCTATCAATCCCACGACGCTGAGCGCAACAGCGACACCGATGCCCGCTCCGGCAGCGGTCGAAATCCCCTTGGACGGCGTACTGGTCGCGGTGGGCGTGCTCATCGCGTCGGCAGGGGACGCAGTCCCTGTTGTCGAAGATGTTTGTGTCGATCCTGTGGAGGTGGAAGTTGTGGTTGTTCGGGTGGTGGTAGTTGCAGAGGATGAGAGCGCAGCTGAGTTAGTGCTGACAGCAACGTTCTGCACCACCTGGTTAGCGGCTCCCGTTTCGATTGGTGCTCGGTTCCCGAGTCAAACTCACGCCAGAATAAATGGTAGAGTAGGCGCCGTCATTGACGGCGCTAACGCTTGACAAAACCCAATGTTGAGCAAGTTGATTTTCTGCGACACCCTCAGACCCGTCGATCTCGTTGGACATGAACAGGTTGTCTTTCGGGTGCACGTCCAGCACGTAGCTGGTCCCGTTCTTCACGTTGACAAACTTGAAGGTTCCCGACCCAAAGTCAGACACATCCCACAACTGAGCTTCGTCCGTCGAAGACTCCTTCATACAAGCAATTGTGTTCCCCGTGGCTGGTTCGCCCGAGTCGTAGCATGCGCTCAGCTGCGCCTTCACACCGGTCTGGTCGAGGCGCATGAGATAGCGGCCTTTGACATCGCCATAAGGCTGGAACTGCCAGGCCGCTGTTCCACCTGTTATCGGATGGACTCTGAGACCATTGACCTCGGTGCGCAGCTGCAGGTTGAGGGCGAAGGGGCCGGTGCTGTTGTCGACGCGTGTTTCGGAGATGCGATACCACGCATTCGGGTCCAATGTCGCCATTTTCACCGTGCTCGGGCGCACGACTCACTCCTGTGTGGTGTGTTTGGGAATGAAGCTGTCCCAAGCAGCATGCCGCAAGCCGAGCCAGAGAGGAGGAAAGGAGCACGAGCAAGCACTCAAGGCGAGGAGACGACAGCCGTGTACCGTTGCAAGTTGGATGGGGAATGTTTTTGTCCGATCGACGGCCCACGAGTCCACGACGCATTGTCGCCCAGGGCCCGAGAAATGACATTTCCAGGATCCAGACAATGGCGGGCTGGCTGCAGCGGGCGAGCGGGCTGAGGTGCGGCGTGCTTGCTGGCTGGCTGGGCTGCAGCAGCAGCTCACCTCCTCCTCCTCCTCAGCCAGCTCACAGTTCCCGCACGCTGCCCACCTTCAGTGACCAGTGACCACCAGCTTCAGTCCTCAGTCACCACTTACCAAGGCGCCCTCGCTGCGTGGATAAGAACGAATTTGCCTGAAAGGATCGCCAAGACCAATCTAGGTACGGGGCGATGCAACCCTGGGGCCGTCATACAGCGCATGTTCAGGGGCTAAGCTGAATGCAAATATCCAAAAAAGCGACAAACCTGCCGGGATCAATGCCCCAACCCAGGGGCTTGGGGTCCGCAGTCTGCTGCTCTTTCGTGCCTTTCTCGACGCCCATTCGACAGATGCTGGGCCTCACTTTCACCAGCCCCCATCACGGCTCTCTGTCTCCCGCTCGACCCCAGACACCTTTGCGATTCCAGAGCGCCCGTAGCCTCGATCAGAGGACGCGGTGGTCGTCTATTGGTCCATTCGCCTTTTCGTGGCCCTATCAATTTAATCGCAGCGGCCGCCGAATTTTATGTCCGCATTGCTTGGAAGCTGCATACGAAGCAGCGCTTCGCTCGGCCAATGATGGTTTCGTCTGCATATCGTTATTTCCGTCGATGAGCGCGAGACGATATGCTCAAGCAAGCGCTAGACTGCGCTGTGCATGTCTATATTTTCGTCTTGCTGCTTCTTACTGAGTCTGCTCAGCCTTCGGGCGGGTGATATGCAGACGCAGGCGCAGGGCTGATATCTTTAGCTTCAGAGGAAGCTTTAGCTGAGGGGCCGGCGAACAAGGTGGAGAGTGGCGAGAAACAGAAGAGGCGAAAAGGATCGACGGAATCCTTCTTTGCGTGATCGTGACCCAACAGGCCGGTCGCGAGTCCCGGAGGCGAGGTTGAAAGGAGACAGCCAAGGCGGACTGCGTGGGTTTTGTTCTCAACCCAGGCACTGGAAAAGGACTTTGGTTCCCGTCCCGTACTTAGCCGCCGTTAAATCTCCTAAACGGCTGCCTAGTCGAGGACCCCACGAAAATGTTCTGCATGCAAAAGCAGTGCTACCCAGCATCTTGTTGGGAGTGGCCCGCGTCCCTGGCGGTTTCCAAGGGCACTGTCATGTCACTTGCTGATCAGTCGCTCTTGTTGGTTCCTGCTTCGGCTCGCAACTGACTCTGAATCGTCATTTTTTGAGATTAGCTTTCCTTCGGACCAGGGTTATGGGGGGTTGCACTCAGAATACCGGACTTGCGTATTATGCGTATGATGTGATCGTTCCAGGAACAACAGTACGTTGCCGGCGGCACGATTTCTTCCTCATAAGTCGAGGAGTTTATCCTCCCTAGGCAACTAGGCGCTCTGGATGTCAACATAGCTATCTATGGTATTTGAGGTGATCGCAAGTGTACCCATTTTCTGATGGAGTCAACAAAACGGTCAAGCTGCCATTATGGTTAGCCTCATATGCCAACGTAAGCTTCGGGAAAGGCTCGGGGCGCGATATCCCTGAACCCCTGTGCATCGCGATCCTACGAACCGTCCATCTGGTAAGCTGTGCCGCGGAAGTAGCGCATCATCAATTGACGAGTCGCGGAATGGAATGACAGTTTGAAGTCGTGATGCAGGTTGGACTGCGCGTCGTGAGAATAAGAAGTCGTCGATGCTTCTTTGGCTGGCAGGGCAGGCCTGGTGGAAGACACCGTGCACAAAAGCAAAAGCGTCTTGAGGCAAGAACGCAGTGAGTTCGCACTGGGCTCACCATTCCACTTTCCGTATCTGGAAACAGGCACGGCCCGGACCCGGGGCTGCCCCGGGAAACTGTCAAGGATCAACAGCGTTTGTAAGTGTGCCTCAAGTCAACATGCTTATTTCCAAATTCATCTCCTTGTTATTTTCTATGCTATAGCAATTCTAATTCTAATATGGATGGCGCTGAAGGTCTACAGACTAGCGATACATGCTCAGCGAAAGGTTGGCCCCATCGCGGTTTCACTTTCGAACGAAAGGTTCGTCTTCCCACTCTGTAGACGGAGGGGTCTGAGAAAGCCTCCAAGAGCCACACTTTCCGTTGCTGGCAACGAAAGCGCCATCAAAGTTGGCCCTACGGCCGTAGCGAAGATCGCCAGGGTTGCCGCAGGTGTCGGTGGAAGGCCTGAAGGTAAAGCATGCGCCGCGGTAGTATAAGCTACCCGTGCAGCCGTTCTCCAGCTGGCACGAGACGCAGCAGGCGTAGGCCGAGTCGGCGTGGCGTCTCTCACGGGTGATGCTGTAATCGGTGGCCGCTTGAACGATGGGGCGTCTGCCAGGAACGTGCGAGACCAGGTTATCGGACTGGCAAGCTGCGTAAAGCGTCGCAGTCGGCATCGATGCAACAGTGACGGTCGACGTAGTGTACGTGGTGGTGGTTGTGGTGACCTGCGCAGGGACGGATGGGACACTCTGGCTAGGCGTCGGTGCGGTGACGAACGTCGTGAAGACGCCAGTGATGGTGTTGTCCACCGTGGTGGTGGTGAAGATGCGAATGACGCGCTCGCAGTGGACAACCTGAGGGAATAGGGGCGGGTCTGCGACAAGGGCAGCATTTTTGGCGTTGAGGCCAAGTACCAGAGGCTGCCTTACGGAACGCTCCTCGATGTAAGGAGAATCACCACCGACATTCTGGGCACTGTCACGGACGAGGGCAGAGGCGAGAGGTGTGAATCCTGCTGGTGCTGGAACAGTGGCGAAGGTGCCTGCAGTGATGCTGGTGATAGTTGTGAGAGTCAGGGTGCTCGTGATGGTAGCGGGACCCGTTTGGCCAGTAGGGGTGACGCCGGTGGGAGTGATAGTCACTGTCACCTTGGATGGGGTGACGTAGTTGTAGTAGGTGACGGGCGTGGTGATGGAATAGATTCTGGAGAACGTCTCTACATTGGCGACTGACCTCGGGCCGAAGTCGGTGTAGCATCCATATTCGCCCTGGACAGTTGAAACGGAGCCAGCCGGGGTTATGGTTGTGATGCTAGACGAAGTGGTGAGAGTAGATGAAGAAGTAGGACCAGAAGAGGTCGTGAGACCGGAAGTTGTAGGACCAGAGGAGGTCGTAGGAATAGAAGATGTAAGGACAGACGATGTTGTGAGGACAGATGATGTTGTAGGGCCGGAAGAGGTCGTAGGAATAGAAGATGTGAGGACGGATGATGTCGTAGGGGTACTTGTCGTAAGAACAGATGAAGTCGTAGGGACCGATGAAGTCGTAGGGACCGATGAAGTCGTAGGGACCGATGAAGTCGTAGGGACCGATGAAGTCGTAGGGACCGATGAAGTCGTAGGGACAGATGAAGTCGTAGGGACAGATGAAGTCGTAGGGACAGATGAAGTCGTAGGGACAGATGAAGTCGTAGGGACAGATGAAGTCGTAGGGACAGATGAAGTCGTAGGGACAGATGAAGTCGTAGGGACAGATGAAGTCGTAGGGACAGATGAGTCGTAGGGACAGATGAAGTCGTAGGGACTGATGATGTCGTAGGGACTGATGATGTCGTGGGAATAGATGAAGTTATGGGGGCCGATGAGGTTATGGGGATAGATGATGTTGTGGGATTAGATGAGGTTGCAGGAACAGATGAAGAAGTAGGATCACTTGAAGTAGTAGGAACAGATGATGTCGTGGGGACTAGCGAGGTTGTGGGGACTGGCGAGGTCGTAGGGACTGATGATGTCGTAGCAGCAGATGATGTCGTAGCAGCAGATGATGTCGTAGCAGCAGATGATGTCGTAGTAGCAGATGATGTAAGCGCAGAGGACGACGTAAGGGCAGAGGACGACGTAAGGGCAGAGGACGACGTAGGGGTAGAGGACGTCGTAGCAGCAGACAATGTCGTAGGGGCAGCAGACGACGTAAGAGCAGACGACGTAGGAGTAGACGACGTAGGAGCAGCGGACGACGTCGTGGCGGGATCAGACGAGGTGGTTAGAACAGAGGACGTCGTCAGAGCAGACGATGCTGTGATACTAACGGTTGTTATAGATATTATAGAAGAGGTTGTGAGGGCAGAAGAACTGGTAAGAACAGAGGAGGTTGTAGGAGCGGAAGAGGTTGCGGGAATAGAGGAAGAGGTTGTGGGTGCAGAGGAATCTGAAGAGCTAGAAGAGCTTGTCAGAAGAGACGACGAAGATGTGAGGCTAGAAGTGGTTACGGGGCTGGAGGAAGTAGTAAGGATAGAGGAAGAAGTCGTAAGGCTCGACGAGGTTGTGGGGTTAGACGAGCTCGTCAGAAGAGATGAAGAAGTCGTGGGGCTGGAAGAGGTTATAGGGTCGGAGGAAGTCGTCGAGCTAGACGAAGTAGCAAGGACAGAGGAGGAGGTTATGAGGCTCGTCGAGGTTGCAGGGTTAGAGGACGTCGTAGGGACAGAGGAAGAGGTCGTGAGGCTTGACGAGGTTGCAGGGTCGGAGGAAGTCGTCGAGCCTGAGGGAGTCGTAAGGACAGAGGAAGAAGTTGTGAGGCTAGAAGAAGTCGTAAGGCTAGAAGAGATCGCAGGGTCGGAAGAAGTTGTCAAGCCTGAGGGCGTTGTCAGGGTGGAGGAGGTTGTCAGGCTTGACGAGGTTACGGGGTCGGAGGAAGTCGTTAAGCCTGAGGGAGTCGGAAGGACAGAAGAAGAAGTCGTAAGGCTCGACGACGATGTTGCGGGGTCAGAAGAGGTTGTCAAGCTAGAGGTAGTCGTAAGGACAGAAGAAGTCGAGAGGCTCGACGACGAGGTTGCGGGATCGGAGGAAGTCATCGAGCTAGAGGGAGTCGTAAGGATAGAGGACGAAGTCGTGAGATCAGAAGAGGTGGAGCTGACGGAAGAGCTCGTGAAGGTAGAGGAGCTGGAGGAGCTTGTGGAAATATCAGTGGCCCCTGTGATGGTGGTGGTAGTTTGTGTTGACACAAAGCTTCCTTGGACGAGCAGGATGGCGACCGCCAGTCCCGACCTCTTGCTGAACATCATGTTGACTTCGTGGATGAGAGAGAAAACGAGTGCAGGGATGAGTCGAGCGTGCTTCAAAAAGTCACCCGGCATCTGGAAAGAATGAGACCAATCCTTATAAGACATTGGTGATGCCTCTGAAGAACCTTGATGACAGGGAAAAAAAGGTTCAGGTGGCTCGCCGAGAGTGCATGATTGTTGAGGCGCCAAACACGGCATGCAGATCCAGGAACATGAAATCAGTTGTTTGCAGCCGCCTTCGGTAGTTGAGATCAGTAATTGAGTTTGCAGAGACAGCAGCCATGTTCTTCCGTGGACGGCGCCAGGACAGATGGAGTATCTAAAGCATCCAACAACTTCGCTTTCGTCAAAATAACGAACAGATCCGAAGCCTGCGAGGGCCTGAAAGTTTTGAACCACGACTAGGGCAAGCACATGTCTGGTTCACAGTGGCTGAGGCCGATGGCGAAGATTTCACGGGCGATGACGTTTGGATGGGAATATCTTTCGATGGCACAGATTTCCATGATCTCAAAATGTGGTCTTCACACAGGCATCTAGCCATTGCACCACCACCTTCGTCACTCATTTCGAGTCACATTCTCGCGCGTTTTCATGTGACTGTCAGCCCAGACAGGCTTTCTATGGTGGATAGCTGGCAATCTGATCTCGGTTTTATAGCTTCAGGATCCCTGTTCAAGCCAGAACAGTCTTCGTATATGCGTTTTGTCAAATGCGTAGGCCAGTCGAGGTACAGGGTGTGAGGACGACTATAGCGCATGTTGCGTACGTATCTGAGACTTCGAAAAACCACTGCATGCTCATGGAGTGGTGTGTAAAAGGGCAGGATGTGAGAACATCGACGGCATATCTCGGGAGCGCTTGCTTCTGGGCGAAGTATCCGCAAAGAAATTGCCAGTACACCTAAACAACTGCGGTGATCAGAACTGGAAATTCACATTTTCGGGATGGAAGAAATGAAAGCTGTCCTGCTATTTGAGCCGTTCTGGATTAAATGCAAGATTACATCGCGAATAGTTTCCCACTTTAGAAGAAGTCACAATGAAATGAAAACGATGTGGGAAGTCGTCACACTGGCCCGTCAGCACCTCATATTTCTTTACGTAGTTCTGAAAGCTGACGCATGGCAAAACACGAATGGAAAGGTTCCGCCAGAGTGGCCAAGTGTTGCATGTTTTCAGAGGAGAAACTCTGTCTACTCCATTTCGCTCATCTGCCGCCTCACTTTGAGAAAAATGCGACTTCTCTCTCTATGAGCCAGCACAACAAACATGAACAGAACAACGCGCGTCTCAGCTTGAACACAGTATGTGTGTTGAGACTCTACTGGCACAATTAGCAATACTGAGGCTACGGGCCCCAGCACGTACTTGCCACTATATATGCTGTGGGTTGAGGCCCGCGGTGACCAAATCACACTTATGAGGCAGTAAGTAAGTCTCATAAACATCTCAGAAAGATCTGTCGTCCCAGACACAGCTACCCCGCATCCGTATGCGCTGTCAAAACATCAAAAAAAAAAAAAAAAAAAAAAATCTTCCAGAGACATTATTCAAGCTTTGTCAAGCAGATTTCACGACAAATAACAAAAATGCAACATCAGTTGAATTCAGATGCCAAAACAATGGACACTGTGGGAATTGAACCCACGACCTTTCACAATTGGCAGCACGCAGAAGCGACGATGCGAAGCGAAAATCATACCCCTAGACCAAGCGCCCGTTGTTATAATGATTGGCTGTTTCCAGTACTATCACGCCCTGACCACAGAGGCCCCCCGGTTTCCGTCGCAGCCGTTGAGCTCCGCGCTTGTGGACCGATAGGGCGCGACGGGCCCGCAAGAACAGGGACAAGAAGCTCCGCGCGGGTCCTTGTGCTGTTGGAATGACGGAAGCATGAAGAGACACGGCAAGCTTGAGCCGTATGATGCCGTCTTCGATGGGCCTCGATTCCATTGCCTTCTGAAGGCCGACCCATCGATGGAATCATGATAACCTCAAGACGACGAAACTCCGAGCTGGAAGCCAGCGCCTGGCCGTAATCCACACCAGGTCCGCAAGCTGCATCATCTGGCCGCGCAGAATGCCGACGGTCGCCAGACGGATGTGCCTCCGAAGACACAAAGGTGTGGTGCCGGCGCGAACAGCCAGCACGCGCCGACAATCGCCGAAGCTCTACCCCTCATTGTACAACCCGACAGATCGCCGAGCCATCGCCGTGGAGACAAGACACCTCTCGGGCTCGAAGCTTGACGACAAATCTCCGTACTAGCCACCCGAGGACGCATGAGTGCTGATTTGTGCATGGCCTGAGGGAGCCAGGACGCAGCTGGAAACCACCAGGCCCCTGGAAACCGACAGCCGGCCTCTCTTCTGCGCAGACACGCGAATTGGGAAGACAGCGGCGTGCTCTTGGTGCAGGAAGCTGGTGGTGTGTGTGTGATGGCAACAGTCGATCATATAGTAGCGGCGGATAACGATTGGACTGCATTTCTTGTATTAGGTGATGGGATCTGGCCGCGTTGGATGGAACAGCGGACGTATGATGCCAGGTTGGAAGGTCCATTTACCCCTCACTCTGACCTGCATCTGCCTCTGCTTAGCCACGATGGATGGACGGACGACATCTGCTGTTGATTGTCGATGGTCTTTCCTCGGGCGTGTCGTGTAGCCTTGTCGTGCGTTGCAAGGGTGCACCTCGCTTGACGGCGGCCCTGGTCGCAGGGCAAACCAATGTTCCATGGCTGCAGACAACGTGAAAGTTGAAGATTTGCCGGGGACTGCGGCGTTTCATCGCCATGGGAGGTGCTGCCAACTGAAGCGGGCAGCTTGTTGCTCGGGTGGAGGGGACGAACCATGGCGGCTGGACGAGCGACCAATGGGGGGAGCCGAGCAGATTACCCCACGCATCCTAGCCAGAGGGTGATTTGGAGATCCCGAATCGATAGTAATTAGTAGTGAGTGTGCATTGCAGTGAAGGAACCTGAGGTGCAGATTGACAAAAGCCGTTGCCGCACTTGGATACTTCCTTCCACTTACTTCCTCGCAGAGTGAGTGTGGCTAGTTAGGTAGGGACGAGACTAGCCAGCCATCGATCACCGTTTCTCGCTAGGTAGTCGGTATCTTCGTTTCCTGTCGGACGAGATGCCGTGCCTCCTCCTCCTTGCTCTTCGTCAGTTGCCGCACGTACATGCCATGTTCCTCCCATTAGCTGGGTCTTAGCAAGCAGTACCTTCCCGGTTATGCTCCAGCCTCGCTGCCTTCCCGAACCTTCATGTTTCCGTCCGAGTGTGAGTGGCTGACTATTCAAGGAGATACTCTGGGAAGGAGGGGCAATGGGAATCTGGCATCTCGGAGAGGTGGAGGACGGCCGACATTGGACAACGGGCGGGAGGCAGACACGCAGCTCGGAGAGGAGAAGCTGGCACATCAAACCAGCCCAGACCACGCAGACGAGCGCTCGTCGGATTGTATTGCCTCTTTCTGAACGTTCAGCCATGTACACCATGTACCACACTTCCTCCTGTCGGTCATGTTCCCCGCCCTCTTCATCCCGGCCTCTCGGTGATGCCTGCAAGCATAAATAAACCTGTACCAGCCGCTTTTCCGTGTCCTATTTTCATCCTCATCTCATACAAACACCTTTCATCAGCCTAGTCTGCAAGATCCCGAGTCTACGGATCTGTTACATCGCTCTCATCTCTTCATCTATATAACGACCACCTCCCACCTCACTCAACACCACATCTCTTGTCTCGACAAGCTCATCCTCTACACACATCTTCAAAATGGTATTGTTCTCTCGCAACCTTCGCACTCTTGCCCCTTCTGTCTCTCGGGGACTTCACACGTCCTCCAAGGCATCTTTTCTGGCTCGGCCTGCCATGAGCAGAGCCGTTGCTCCCTCCACGGCCCTCCCTCGCAAACTGCCTGGCCAGCTTTCTTCGATCCGCACACTAACAACTACTCCCCACAACCAGGTCAAGGTTCTCGCAGTACTCTACGACGGCGGCCAGCACGCCAAGGACGTAAGTGCCATCTCACTTCCTTTTCCCCCAGATTCCCACAATGGCATCCGACACACCCGCGCCTTCACCACCAAGAAACGTCACTATGATAGCTCGCGTGGAGCTGTGCCCCGCCGTGATCTCAAGCAGGATGTCTCGCCTGCAGAGAGCTAGTGCGGGGATGACGGGAGGTGCGGGGCTCGGAGGTCGATCGCTGATACATCGGCATTCTGCCCCAACTCTTGGCAATGACCCTCCGAAACTACCAAATGCGGGGTGCATCGCACCCATCCCTGGAGCTTCTGGGCTGACTTCGAAACCACACAGGTCCCCGGCCTTCTGGGCACCACCGAGAACGAGCTCGGCATCCGCAAGTGGCTCGAGGACCAGGGCCACACCCTCGTCACCACCTCCGACAAGGAGGGCGAGAACTCCAAGTTCGACCAGGAGCTCGTCGACGCTGAGATCATCATCACCACCCCGTGAGTACAGACCGACATCAGCTGCATCGCCATGCTCCATCACGACTAACACGCCTTTCTCTCCCAGCTTCCACCCCGGCTATCTGACCGCTGAGCGTCTCGCCAAGGCCAAGAACCTGAAGCTCGCCGTCACTGCTGGTATCGGCTCTGACCATGTTGACCTGAACGCCGCCAACAAGACCAACGGCGGTATCACCGTCGCCGAGGTCACTGGATCCAACGTCGTCTCCGTCGCTGAGCACGTTGTCATGACCATCCTCGTCCTCGTCCGCAACTTCGTTCCCGCCCACGAGCAGATCGAGCGCGGCGACTGGAACGTCGCTGCTGTTGCCAAGCAGGAGTACGACCTCGAGAACAAGGTCGTCGGTACCGTCGCCATCGGCCGTATCGGTGAGCGTGTCCTGCGCCGTCTCAAGGCCTTCGACTGCAAGGAGCTTCTCTACTACGACTACCAGCCCCTGTCTGCCGAGAAGGAGAAGGAGATTGGCTGCCGCCGCGTCGAGAACCTCGAGGAGATGCTCGCCCAGTGCGACGTTGTCACCATCAACGCTCCTCTGCACGAGAAGACCCGCGGCATGTTCAACAAGGAGCTCATCT